CAGTGTCCTCCACCAGGTCAGCTCACTGTCTCCAGTGCCTTGGGAGACGACGACACCAGTGTCCTCCACCAGGTCAGATCACTGTCTCCAGTGCCTTGGGAGACGACGACACCAGTGTCCTCCACCAGGTTAGATCACTGTCTCCAGTGACTTGGGAGACGACGACACCAGTGTCCTCCACCAGGTCAGCTCACTGTCTCCAGTGCCTTGGGAGACGACGACACCAGTGTCCTCCACCAGGTCAGCTCACTGTCTCCAGTGACTTGGGAGACGACACCAGTGGCCTCCCTATATTATCAAAGGCCATCCCTATATTATCAAAGTACTTTCTCCTCTCCAACTTTAAATTGCATTATTAGTCCCGATGGCTTTATTTACAGACTATTTCATACGCTCACTAATCTTTGAAAGAAAAAATATAACACTTCTCGTTGTGTGATCTTTGTTATCCTGATGCCAATTGTAGGCTTCACGTTAGAGTTTAGAAGCTGTGACGAAGTTAGTTAGCAGCTCTTGGATTCATATTCTTACTGCTGTGTTCATCATCAGCGCTGTAGGCCTACATGCGAGTGCTAGAGACACAACTAAGCGTAAAGTCATAAATCCTAGGAATGCTACAAAAAGTGTATGCAAAATAGCAGAAGATAGTTTACTATTCTTACAGTTGGGAAGCGTTTAACCAGAAGCAGTCATACAGCGCTTGAGAAATTGAAGGTAATGAGGCTTGATCTAAAAAACAAAAAAGAGATCAAGAGCCCTTTATCAGCACCAAGGAAGGAACTAGAGCACCAACATTTTGCACAGCATTATGCATAAGCTGGGCTATCTTCTCTGCTGGGATCTCTGTGAGTTGGTATGTCTCAACTCCGTATATACTGTGGGATTTGTAATTACTCGAGTGTAAGCTTCTGTATTTGTACTGATTTCCTGAAGACAGGAAAGCAATGGCTGGGGATGGAAGCCAAAGTGAAATTCCTGGCCTTAGTGACAGGACCTTCCTGACATCTGGGTCGATGGGTATAGTCAGTCAGACTTTTGATAATAGCTAACAGCTGATAAGGCCCACAGAGATCACTGGTGATAACTGTACCTGTAGCATGGAGTGTTGTCTACTGTCCTTGATGACTGGTAACCTCTCTTCTGATAACTGTACTAACATGGAATATTGTCTACGTGCTTGGTGACTGGTAACCTCTCTTCTGATCACTGTACCAACATGCAGTGCTGTCTCCTGTTGTTGGTAACTGGTAACCTCACTATTACGTCACAAATATCCAGTCACTAATCTCTCCACACTTGGCCTGGTCGTTATTATAGACGCCTCAGCCGTAAATATCTTCGCGAAAATAATAATTTTACCAAATGATGCAAAATGAACATTATTACTGATTTTTTTTTGTTGTCCCTTCAGTTGGGGTGATGACGGTGAAGGTCTCTTGATCAAAGGATCTGGAGAGACAGCTCTTTTAAACCTCCTTTACGTAGTGCACTTTCTCGTAAATTTGTCTGAAAACCGAAAAAAGTCTGGAAGGCCTTTCCTTGTGTTATTAAGTTCTGCATACATAGTAATTGTTCAAATATATTTAACAAAAAACGGGCTATATACAGGAGCTCTATGAGAGAGCTGGTTGTGTCCACCTTCAATCAGTACTGTTTATAAAATATCAAATATGGTTATAATCAAAACCAAAATTTTTAAAGGGGTGGATCGATAAGCCAGTGGAAGGCCTCGGTCAGATGACCACAAGCTCCAATGGCAGGTCACCATATGACTAATACCCGCGTCAGGAAACTCTTGTCCTGTTTCTCACTTCCCAAGAGTTGCATCATCCTTATGGGTTTAGCGCATATCATCTCAGAAACCAAAGTGGTTGTTTTAAGTTTCTATTGATGTACTGAATTCAAATTTTAGTCTCCATCACATAAGCTTTTTCTTTGAAATTTTATGATCAATATTCTTCCTATTTAGATTTGAAGACCCACATGATATATATGTTACATAACAGTCATAGGAAATAACATTATGCATACATTATTAAGTGTTCATGCAAAGACAAAAACTAATATCATTATTTCATTATATACATACATATATATATATATATATATATATATATATAATATATATATATATATATATATATATATTATAAATATATATATAATTTTATATTAATATATAATATATATATATATATATATTTATATATATATATAGGCACGTCGAAAACAACAGGAATTTCCATACGTCATATAAACATATTTATATCACATTTTTTAGACTTTTTCGCTTGTTGATTTAAAGAGACACGTGAGCAAACATTAGCATATTTATTAGAAAACGTTTCGGTCCTGAGACCTTGATCACTTCTAAGGTCCCAGAACCAATAAATATGTCCTAGTGTTTCCTTACGTCTCTTTTTAAGCTAGTATGCCAGCATCAATTACTAAAAATTTTCGCTGTGTCCAGTACAACTCTCCCTCACCAGTGTCCAGCAGCAGTAGTCAACCATTAAACTGACCATCAGGTTGCCCTGAAATCTCTTTTCCACGATGGCCATGTCTTAGTGAAATCGTTCACTTCGGAGTTCTATTTCACAGAAACTGTCCTGGTTGGAGTAAAAACCAAGTTCAGTTCTGAATTCAGCGTCCCCAAAATTACGTAGAAACACTTGTCTGTAAACGCGACCTGAAACTTTAGTTGGCCAGTATGTCAAACCGGGCTGCCGGCGTTCATAGACCCTCGACTCAATATTATTTTTGCACTCCTGGGGAGAGAGCTAAACTGTAGGGCTCATACAGCGCCTCGAAAATGGTGGTGATCAGGTCTGGTCCCATTCCTTGGACTGGGAGCCCTTCGGTATGAAAGCATTCTTCTAAGAAGGAAAAGTTGAATCTTGGCCAAATGTGAAGGCCAAGAGCTGGCCAGTTGATTGTTCCACGTCCCGACCAGCTAGTTGGTGCACGTGTTGGCCAGCTAGTTGTTGCACGTGCTGGTCAGCTGGTTGATGTACGTGCTGGCCAGCTAGTTGTTGCACGTGCTGTCCAGCTGGTTGATATACGTGCTGGCCAGTTGGTTGGTGTACGTGCTGGCCAGCTTGTTTGTTTACGTGCTAGTGAGATCGTTTGTGTACGTCTTGCTGGCCAGCTGGTATCAGTTGCCCAGGACTGCAACAGCTGGCAGACTGAATAGCTGGCTGACGGGCCAAACTGGCTAACTGCTTGGATAACTGGCTAACTGTTTGGATATTTGGCTGACTGGTTGGATATCTGGCTGACTGGTTGGATATCTGGCCAACTGGTTGGATATCTGGCTGACTACTTGGATAACTGGCTGGATAGCTCAGTGATTGGCTGAGTAGCTTGCTGATTGACTAAGACACTTGCTGATTGATTGGCTAGCTGGCTGCCTGGTTGGCTACCTGGCTGACTGGTTGGCTACCTGGCTGACTGGTTGGCTAGCTGTCTGGCTAGCTAGCTGGTTGACTGGTTGGCTAGCTGTCTGGCTAGCTAGATGGTTGACTGGTTGGCTAGCTGTCTGGCTAGCTAGATGGTTGACTGGTTGGCTAGCTGTCTGGCTAGCTAGATGGTTGACTGGTTGGCTAGCTGTCTGGCTAGCTAGATGGTTGACTGGTTGGCTAGCTGGCTGACTGGATATTTCAATTTTATTTTAACCATGAGGAGGCGCAAAAACCGAAGGGGTTGTATAGCGCTTGGGGAATGGGAGGCTTTCAGGTTTGAACGAAGAAGACAAGCCCAGCTTCCTGGATCAAGAGCTCTTCACCCTTGAGGAGGACTAGTTGGAAAGTTGGCTCACTCTTTCTGGCGTGATGGTAGGCTTTTAACTGCCTGTCCAGCTAGGTTGCTGAGTAGGTAGATTGCTGTGTGCCTGGTTGGGCGGCTTGCTATCTATCTGGCTGGGTAGCTTGCTGCCTATCTGGCTAGGTGGCTTGCTTTCTATCAGGCTGGGTAGCTTGCTGTCCATCTGGCTGGGTGGCTTGCTGTCCATCTGGCTGGATGGCTTGCTGTCTGTCTGGCTGGGTGGCTTGCTGTCTGTCTGGCTGGGTGGCCTGCTGTCTAACTGGGTGGCTTGCTGTCCATCTGGCTGGGTAGCTTGCTGTCTTTCTGACTGGGTGGCTTACTAAGTGAGAAGCTTGCTATCTGGGTGGAACGCTCGTTGCCAATCTGTGTAACTTGCTATCTGGCTGAGTACTGTGCTGACTATTTAGCTGAGTAACTCGCTACCTGTCTGGGTAGGTAGCAAGCTGCCAGGCTGTATGAATAGCTTGTTGTCTATCTGGGTGGGTAGCTCGCTGCCTATTTGGCTGGCTGCCTTGCTTGCTGGCTGAGTGGCTGGCTGGCGGGACTCAAGTTATGGCGGCGTTGCGTAACTGGACGATATGACACAGGAATATCTGCCGCTGTACCAACATCAGCTTGGCTGCAGGCAGGCTTGGCTCCACGCTCATATTTTCCCACTCGGCTTCTGTTTCGAGGATTCCCGGCCTCCCTTGAGATTATATCGACAAGTTTCCCAAATTTCATTTGACTCTGGGTAACTTGAAGGTGACAGACAACAGAGGCGTTTGTTTGTTGAAGCGATGAGTTTTTGTAATTAAATAATGCAGTGTCATATACTGGCGAGGCTTGTTTTTTTTTTTCCAAACGGCGTTCATACTGGCTTCTGGTATTGAGGTTCAAGGAGATTTCAAAGGAACACTCGTTCTTTAGTGCAAATTTTGAAGCGGCAGAGGAAAATGCTGATGTAATGGGGTCACCGAGTCCCTCCATATTGGTGAGCCAGAAATGACTTCAACTTTTAATTTCCTTTGGTAGGCCCAAGATGGAGTTGGCCACGGGTGCCTTGTGAGATGCCTGATCCAGGATGCCCAAGGGGTATAAGGAAGAGAGGTCCATGCTGAGGAAGGCTGGTGGAAGCAGTAAAGTAAGTGTGAGGTGGTGGTGGTGGAGGAGGAGTGGTCTTCTTGCGCTGGTTGTGAGGGCCGCCACCAGGGGGCAGCAAGGCTCATTGCCAGCCCAGACTTGATACACGGCGCTCCCGCTAGGATATACCATCAGTTATATTGCGAATGTTCCTAAATGGAGTGATTGGCCCACTTCATTCTTCTTGGAAAGAGC